GGATACGAAGGGCGGGCGATTGGATGTGGCATGAGCTGGGCTTCCAAGGGTCCAAAATGCTTCGAAACAGGTGGGACCCAGAGAACAGGCGGCACAGGCAACACTTACAAAGCTTGGGCTTGCAAAGGCTTGGGCTTGCAGTATGCCTCAGGGTAAGAGCATCGTCATGGTATTTGAGTTCCTGGGTCGTAGTACTCATAGACTTGATTCCAGATAGGGCCAGATGCGCTGCTCTATTCCTCCATTCGACCCGTTCCAGATAGTTCCACTATTCTCCCAAATCAACAACGTGGCTTGACCCTTTTGCTCCCCTTTGGGTGCTGTTGAGTCACCTCGCCCCTCTTCAGGTGGAGAAGTGAGGGGTTTCTACCGGGTTTGAGGGGACCCGGGCGGAGCTCGTCCAGTTGGTGCCCGAAAAGCAGGCATAGATGGGATTAGCTGATCAGGGGGACGAATGTTATGACTTTAGACTTTCAAATCGTCAAATCTCCAGTTATATTGTGTCATTGAAATGGTTCTTGCTGTTGCTTCCATGAGCTTCCCCCAGCTTCTTTGCTTCTCATCCCAGCGAGGGCGTAACCCTGGAGTTCGCTTTTGCCAACTTTTGCCATGAGTCATGCCTTGCACATCCTTGTTTTAGCATGGATTGCAAGTCCCTGCCCAAAAGTAATGGCCTCGGCCGCCTGGCCCAGCGAAGCTCACTGATCGGAGCATGTGAGTCCTCCAAGAGGAGACGTCATTCTGTTCAGAGACATCGATCACTCCAAATTCCTCGCACAAGGAGACTGCATTGTACCGACTTCGTAAGCAATTTGCTGCCTCGATCGCTCCCCTGGGTCACGGGTAGGCTGGAGTAAAAAGAGAGCTGGGAAGGCATCATTGAATCCATTCATGTGGCATTGGGGCATTGGAAATTCATGGTCTTCAACGGTGTTTTTGAATCATGGTATATCATTGCTCTATGATATTCTATGGGACAGGCCACTTCCTTCCGATGTTTTTACTGTTGGTCATCGAGCGCCGCACTGCGCGCCGCGCACTGCAGTTTTTGTGAGGCTCCCAGGCTCGCGACGTCGCCGATTTCTTACGCACCCGTCGTGGAATTTGCCTCGCCGTGACCCTGCCCATGGTGGCTTCCAATGCGCCGGTGCAGCTCTTTGCAACGTCACCCAGGCTGAGCCCCAAAGGACTAGCATCTTGGCTTTGAGAGTGGCAATGAAGAAGTGCAAGGAACCGCGCCAATTGGAATTGTTGATGGGGCTGGGGGATCCAGATGTTTGAGTTGTCTATGTAAGCAGATCTATCAGGAACTTCATGCTGAGGAACTAGCTGTTTTGGAGAGGGCTGACAGTTGGGGAATATTGTCTTTCCAGTTTCACTTGGGCAAGGTGGCATTCCGGGCACTTTCAGCGACACTTCTTCTGGGGCATCAGGTGGCACATGCGGCGTATTGGGCCACGATGTTTGGAGGCAAGAGCTGGTTCTACCTCCTATACATCACTCATTGGACAATGAGCCTTGTCTTTCAATATGTTTCAATTCAAGTGTGGATCCTCTAGGGACAGGCCCTGGCCTGGGGTTTAGAAGC